ACCACTAGACCCAAAACAGCTCAAAGCTCTTGAATCTCTAAACATCCCCACCGTCAAAGACCCCTGCAACCACCACCCTCCCTCCAAATCCTCCACAGTCGTAACCTGCTCCTCCACCTCACCATTCCGTCTCGTCACCGGAATCTCATTCACAAACTGCTCCACCGATCTCTCTCTCTCTTCAACAGCTTTAAGAGCTCTCTCTCCATCACTAACCTCACTCTCTTTCCAAAACTGCCCTTCTCTCTCTCCTCCACCTCGCCTACCTGACTCACTCCACTCCTTCACCGCCGTCAATTCCTTCCTCCGTCGCCGGAATGGTCTCACCGGAGTTTTCTTAGCTCGTCTTATAAACCTCACTTCCTTAACCGTCTCCTCTGTTCCAGTCTCAACCTCTGGTCTCTTCGTTATCCTCGGGAATATGCGCAAGATTGAAACTTTAACAATCTCACACGCAAATCTCACTGGAAACATACCAAAATCTTTCCATTCGAATCTCACATTCATCGATTTATCAAACAATTCGATCAAAGGATCAATACCCATTTCGATTACTCTCCTCACAAACCTAAAGTCACTAAATTTATCTCAAAACTCAATCTCCGGCGAGATCCCAGACGAAATCGGCTACTTGATTTCGTTAAAAAACCTATCTTTGTCCTCAAACAAGTTATCAGGACCAATCCCAGATTCGATCTCTTCGATTCCAGATCTTACGCATTTAGATCTGAGTGGTAATCAACTAAACGGTACTGTTCCTAGATTCATTACAAAGATGGAGAATCTTAAACACTTGAATCTAGCTAACAATTCCTTCCATGGAGTTTTACCGTTCAATGCGAGTTTTTTGAAGAAGCTTGAAGTGTTTAGAATCGGTGGAAACAGTGATCTTTGTTATAATCACTCTGTTTTGTCTTCGAAGATGAAACTGGGTATTGCTCAGTGTGATAAACATGGTTTGCCTTTGTCTCCACCGCCTCAGAAGGAAGATTCGAGTTCAGATTATGATTATGGTAATGAAGATGATACTAGTGAGAAGAAGAAGGAAGAACATCATGGTCCTAATAAAATTGTGCTTGGTGTTGCTATTGGACTTGCTTCGCTTGTGTTCTTGATCATCTTCTTGATTCTTCTTGCTAAATGGTGTGGTTGATTCGATGGTTTCTTCTCATTTCATTATTGAATTTATACAGAATTAAAAGGAAGCCCTAATTAGGGTTCTACGGGATGAAGAAGAAGCTAGAGGATAGTGATTCTTTTGGAGAATAACCGGACCGGTTTTTCGTACCAATCCCGGTTAAGCCTTTGTTGTTTTGGTTTGATTTCACATTTGAGTGGGTATTATAATTAGTCTTTTGGTTTCTTTTGTTGTAATTTTTATTTTTTTTAAAGTGTATGATGTGTTAAAGGATTATTTTGTAATAATTATTGAATTATTCTTATCAATTATTTCTTCAACAAACTTTGTTCCTTATTAGTTGTGTTTATATAATATTGAAACATGGCTCAATTGACCAAAAATGAAATTGAAACTTGTCATTTGGTTAATATCTTCACCAAATGCTAAATGATTGGAAAATTATTGAATAAATAAACCCTAATCTAGTGAATGAAATAATGTGGTTTAAGTTTCTCTTTGAAGCAATAATACCATCATGAAGATCCAGCCTGTTCATGTTCTATTGCTTCAATTTCAATGATTTTGATCAAGACCGGTCCAACCGTAAACCGGTTTGGTAAGAACAACATTGGAGGGAAAACGGACCATAGCTACATGCACTCTACGCTCGTGTCATCATAACAATGTATACCCGAATATCGTGTTTATAACAATCTGCATTTTTTTGTTTTTTGAATTTTCAACCCACTTTACTAAAAAAGGTTTTGATCAACCCAAAAGTAAACGGAGTTAAATGGTCTGTTAAGTGTTTGATGACTAATTAATTAGTAAAAATAACATAATTAAAATTTTAAAATATTGATTATATAAAATACAAAAACGTAACGCATCTTTCTTTCTTCTTCTTTATCGATCAGATAAATCCCTAGTTACTTAAGCTCTTGATTCATACCGAAAAGTAAACGAAACGGATCAAAGAGACAGAAACACGCCTAGTTTATCGTCCTATCACTACTTGCTCACGCAGATGCCAAGTTCTGATCTTTCAAACGATTCCTACCTAAACTGTATAATAGTTATGCTGCATTGGCTAAAAGGGTACAGAAACGAACATGATGATCCAAGATCTTGACGACAACGAGGAAGAAATCGTTATCGACTTCTTTAAGATCCTTGACTCCAACAACCACCTCTTTCTTCATCTTGGATAGCTTAGGATCATCTTCAGAACCAATCTCCATCTCAAACCATCCTTCCTTGAACAACCTATCACTCATCTGAAACGCCTCAAAATGAACATCTGCACCACCATCCTCATTGATCTCAAGCTTCACAACCGCAGTGACCCATTCCTCCAATTCACTCTCTGCGTGAAGCTGCGTCGCAAGGAACACCTCAACGTTAGACAATGTGTACTCCTTCTTGTCCTGACTCACTGTCTGGTTGAATATAAACCCAACTTTCCTGATCCCTAACCCTAAAGCAATCGCATCCACTCGTTTCTCTTCCTCTACGTCTCACATCAGAATCAGATTATCCTCCATACCTTGCTGCGGCGGCTCGTAGATGAAATTCACCTCCACCTGACCTTCCTCCGATACGTTTCCGTACATCAATCCGCCGCGTTTTACAGCGAACGCTAGCGACTCGTTGACGTAATGCTGAAACGCATTTGCGCAATCGCGATCGAACGAGACGGAATCGCAATGAGATTTCTCCTGCCGACTCACACGCATCTGTTGCGCGATTAGATCTTCCACAGTCATCTTCCTCCCGAACGAACCAGCGGGAGTCACGGCTGGACCACCGCGAATCGTACGCTCACCTTCGTACGCTAAGTAGACCATAGAGTCGTGGCTGAGATTGAGAGACGAGATTCGGAGGTTTGGATCGGCCATGTCGCTAAACCCTAAGAAATCAGTGGGAGATTTCGCAAGGAGAAGGTTTCGATTGGTGGATAAGGTTTGGTTATAGATTGGGATCTAAAGTTGTTCTTGAGGGTTTTGAGTTGGGAGATTGTAATTTGAGGTCCATCTACACTCACTCGCTCGAATCCATCTCTGCTTCGGATTCTGAGCATCATCATCTTCCTTCAAACAGATCAAAACCCAGAAAAAAACTTTTGATTTTCGCGAGAAAAAAAAAAAGCAGACGGATTCAAGAATCAGATTAGGGATTTATCTGATCGATAAAGAAGAAGAAGAAAGAAATATGCGTTTCCTTTTCTTTTTTAATCTCCCCCCCCCCCCCCTTTGTGCCAAAACGACGACGTTTTTGTATTTTATATAATCAATATATTTTAAAATTTTAATTATGTTACTTTTACTAATTAATAAGTCATCAAATACTTAACAAATAATTTAACTCCGTTTACCGTTGGGTTGATCAAAGCTTTTTTTAGTAAAGTGGGTTAAAAATTCAAAAAACAAAAGAGTGCAAGTTGTATAAACGCGGTATTCGGGTACAGGTTGTTATGATGACACGAACGTAGAGTGCATGTAGCTATAATCTGTTTTCTCCAACATTGGAGTATAATACATGAAACATTTCAAAATTTTCACCAGAAACCTCTGCAAGAACAATGCCCATCCTTGAACTGATGAAACCGGTTTGAATCTCTAAGGACAATCTCTCTTCTGGTTAACTTAGACATGAACTTAGCCATTTCATGACAATCTCCACACACTCTTAGATTCTTAGTAACTCTTATGATCTTTCCATGTCCAGAGCTAAGAATCCCCAATGCCATTGCTAATTTCTCACTATGACCACACAAAGCTTCTTCTTTTTCCATCTCTTTCGCATCGATCAACGCGTATTTAGTCTGCGGCGAATACCCTTCTTCTCTCATTCTAGCTCTTACCCCCCTCAGAAATGCTTCAATCTTTTCGGTCTCCGGGTTTGAACTGTCTCCAGCTACAAAGATGTTAACTTTACCCTTAATCTCTATCCAGCTACATCCCGGATTCTTCCTCAATCCGCGTCTCCCTATCCTCTCTCTTAGCTTCCTCACTTCTTCCCATTTCTCTGCTTCCGAGTAGATATTCGCCATTAGCACATAGTAACCTGTGTTTTCTGGTTCGAGCTCGAAGACTTTCTCTGCAACTTTCTCAGCTAGGTTAACATCATGATGTATCCTGCATCCGCAGAGCAAAGCTCCCCAGATTGTAGCATCTGGCGGAATTGGCATGTTCTCGATGAACCGATAGGCTTTTGACAAGTTTCCGGTTCTTGCTAGCATGTCGACTATACAAGCGTAATGTTCTAGCGTTGGCTCGATCTTGCATTCGTGTCTCATGATGTTGAAGAATCTCCACCCTTCATCTACTAGTCCTGAATGACTACAAGCATACAATAAAGAGACAAAAGAGATTTCGTCAGGCTCGATATCCGCTTGTCTCATTTGATTGAAAAGAGCGATCGCTTCTTTTCCGAACCCGTGCATCCCATATCCAGCTATCATCACTGTCCAAGAGACAAGATCTTTGGAAGCAATTTCATCAAAGAGCAAACGTGCGAGTAACAACGCTCCACATTTCGCGTACATGTCTACAAGCGAATTAGCAATATGCCGATCTGAGAAATACCTGTTTCTCATTATGTAACCGTGGATCTCTCTGCCTTTATCGAAGGCAGAAAGACTTGCACAAGCCGGAAGAACACAAGCCACTGTTCTCTCATCAGGATCAAACCGCTTTTCTTCCAACATTAAAGAGAACAGGCTTAGAGCTTCATTAGCGTAACAGTTTTTCGAGTACCCGCCAATAACGGTATTCCACGAGATAATATCTTCAACAGGCATCTCAGAGAACACTAACTCCGCCTCTCGCATGCTTCCGCATTTCGCATACATATCCATCAGAGCATTCGACACAAAGATATCGAATCCCATATCGTTTTCCTTTATCCACTCATGGACACGCTTACCTTCTTCTAATAACCGATTACGGGCACAACAGCTTAAAACCTCAGTGACGGTATAAACATCAGGGCTAATACCTTCTTCCTCCATTTCCGCGAATAGCTTCACAGCTTCACCAGCCAAACCTTCCCTAGCATAACCAGCAATCATAGAAGTGTAAGACACAACACTTCGATCCCTCATCTCTTCAAAAACTACTTTAGCAGAGTCTAGATCACCGCATTTCGAATACATATCAAGCAACTTATTACAAAACCGATCTGCCTTACCTAAACAAGCTTTCAGTCCAATACAATGGACAGCTCTCCCTAATGCAATTAGCCTAGAATCAGCACAGCCTCCGAAAACACTAACTATGGTAGCTAAATCAACCTCGATTCCAGAACACAACATCCGCACAAACACGGATAGTCCTTGCTCAGCTAAACCGTTCGATATATACCCATTAATCATCGAATTCCAAGATATAACATCTCGTTCAGTCATTTCATCAAACACCTTACGCGCACTCTCAACTGTTTCCTTCTTCAAATAAAACGCCAATAAAGAATTCGCCACAGAGTTGCAATCACCAAAACCTGATTTCAGAACATAACCATGAAGCTGTTCACCTCCATAAACACTACGCAAACCCGAAAAGCTCTTCGAAACGGAAGAAAACGTATACCGATCCATTTCGATACCAAAACTCATCATTTTCTTGAACAATCTAATACTTCCACTAAAATCACCAGATTTCCCAAGCTCATTCATCAATGTATTCCAGAACAGAGCTTTCTCGATCCTAACTTGATCGAAAATTCGACTCGCTTCTTTCAAATCACCACAATTTGTGTACATAAGAACGAGTTTCGATCCTAAATTCGAATCTATTACAAACCCATTACCACGAATAAAGGAATCAACTTCTTTACCGTCTTTAAGAGATCTCGAATCTGCACAGAGCTGAAGAACAGAGCATAGAGTTCTCGGATCAATATCACGTTTTCCAGATTCGCGAAGAAGTTTCACGGAGCTCACTAGATCACCAGCTTCGATGAATCTCCGTAATCGAATATTCGAATCCGTTAAGCTTCGATCAAATGTCGAACGATCTCTGTCTTCGAGAGACACAGTTCTCAACGACGCTCTGTTCAAAATCACATTTTTTTTAACTCTAGTGTTGCTTCTGGTCTCCTTCTGGGTTTGAAATCGATGAGAGGGAAAGAAACAGAAGCTTGAGGAAGACAGATTCGCCACCAACATCGTCGTTTCTATCTCTCTCTAACTCATCAGACGAGAGGAAGCGCGGGAAAAAAAACTGTCTGATTTAATGGTTCGTGTAAGAAAATGGTTTCTCTTTTTCGGTAAAAGTTGTTTTTCTGCAAGTGGTGGAGCAATGTTCCAAAAGAAGAAGAGAAATTCGGACTTTAGCTTATTTATGGTCCACAAAATTGGGCAGAGACAAGTGTAATTGGACCAAGCATATAAAGGTGGGGTTTTTAGGGGAAGAATTTTTTTTGTTTTTTTGTTTATTGTGAGGAAGAGAATCAAGGACACGATTCACTTCAGGTTTTGGAAAAACTCAGATTTTGTTTTGCAGGAAAATTCAGGAATTTTAAGCTATGGACTTAGGTCTGCATTTTCCTTCTGTTTATCCATTGACCAAACAAGGATTAAGGAGAGCTAAATCAGCCAATCTCTTCATGTCCGAGGTAATCGATTCTTCCATGGATCGAATCTTTTTAGAATTGCAGATTCTGAATGTTTTTTGGTGACAAAAGTCCGCAAGTTCTTGGTTCTTCGGAGTTAGAGAGGTTATGGGAGTAACTGAGAAAATCATTTTGAACCTGTGCAGCTAACTGAATATAGACAGATTGTAGATGCTCCTTCACCAAGCTTTGGGCAGAGTCTTTCAAGAAAAGCATTCCATGGCGATACAAGTATCTGGCCTCGAGAGAAAACGTCTTCTTCTTCAATGGGGAGATCCAAGAAAGGGTCTGTCTGTTGCAAGAAACAGTCCGATCCGAGTAAATTGAACCAAGAAGAGATCATTTCTCTTTTTAGACGGATTCAATCTTCAATCTCCAAAGGAAAATCACCAGAAGGACTTGAGGGGAGGAAGAACCGCGATGGGACTCCTGAGAATGTGCCATTGAGCAAAGCTATTCTCGACATTCTTGAGAAACCAAGAAAGAAAACCGAGGGTAATCAATGATTCTCGATCAACTTCCAAATTCATGTCTTGCAATTTGTTAATGTAATCGACTTCTGCAACTGTAGGAGATACTAGAGTGAAGGAGCCACCAGAGAGACAAGTGAAGAAGGTAACTCGGCCACCGTCTAGTTTTGCCAAGCGATCACCTATTAGACCTACTTCAGGTCCAAGAGGTAAGCTTCCAATAACACAGCACGATAAAGCTTTAAAAGAAATGACAGAGAAGGAAGAGAAAGCTCCATTGATAGAAACTATGAAACTTGCAGAGCTAAAAGAAGTTGCCAAGAACAGAGGAATCAAAGGCTACTCCAAGCTGAAGAAGAGCGAGCTTTTGAAACTGATAAGATCATCCTAATTTTAACTTTGATCAATCGTTAAATTAGAGAATGTAGAAACATTTCAGACGAACTCAACTGGTAAATGCTTAGTTTTTCTCAATTCCTTGTGATCAAACTAAAGTCTGCGCAAAGTTTAGAACTGATATCCAGAACTGTAAATGTAACAACTTAAAAACAGAGCTAACACCACAAACACAGAAGCTGTTTTAACCGGTGATGTTCTGAGACTTGTTGAGGATAACACCTTCATACTTAACTTGGAACCACTTCATGGCATCATCCTTTGTAACTCTATGTTGAATCCCAACACGAGTCTTGCATCTACGGCGACGGGCAACACGGTATCCCGGGCGTTCAAGAACCACATAGAAGTCCATACCGTAAATACCAGTAGAAGGATCGTACCTAAGCAAGAAACACAAAACAATGAGAACAATTCTGTGTTCAAGGAACTCATTATCGAATCAGCCCATCACAAACACTTACTTGATTCCAAGATCAATGTGCTCCTGGATACCGAACCCAAAGCAGCCAGTGTCACTGAAGTTCCTCCTCAAAAGCTCGTATTCTTTCACTTTCAAACCACTCTCAAGTAGCTGCATTGCCTTCTCACCTCTGACGGTAACATAGCAAGCAATCTTCTCATTACGCCTAATACCAAAAGACCTCACAGTGTACCTCGCTGTTCACAATCAATCCAACGAGACTAAACTTCAACACTACAATCTCAAAATAACATACACAACATGTAAGAGATTCTACACATACCCTTGGAGAATACAGGGGTTTGACCACTGAGTTGTTCCAACACCTAAAAATCAACACAAACCCTTTGATTCATATGTACTAAAGAATCCATTTTGCATATAAAGTTTCGATTTTTAACTTTACAAGTGAGCTAAAAAAAAGAACCTTTGAGGCACGAGTGAGACGATCACCACTTTCACCAACGGAGATGTTGAGAACGAGTTTCTGAACCTTAATATCCCTCATAGGGTTCGAGAGCTTCTTCTCCGATGCCTACATCACGACAAGAAGACACAAACTTAATAAATCCTTAAAAACCAAAACTTTCGAATGAAACATAAGCAAACTAATGAATCTCAAGGAATTGAGAAAAGTATACCATCTCAGGATTTTGGATTCGAAATTCAAGCGAGAGGACTGAAGAAAAAAAGAGTGGCAGACGAATTGCGTCGGCTGTGAAGTTTGATAATTATATGAAGGGAATTAGGGCTTCTTCGTGGAGCTTAATGACGAAAATACCCCTCACTAAAGTCAAAAAAATATTAACAAAAAAAACTCCGTTGCCGGGACTCGAACCCGGGTCTCTCGGGTGAGAGCCGAGTATCCTAACCAGCTAGACTACAACGGATTTGATGAACTCTAACCAATTATAAATAATGAAATTCAGAGAGGTTCAAATAGTAATAAAAACATAAAAACATTTTTGTTATTGTTAATGATGGATGATCCCATTCGAAGTTGAGCTCACTGAGAAACTTTTGTTGACTTTTCTTGGCTACTTTTAATGTTGATCTTGTTACAATATATACAAACCATAGCTGAATAGTGAGAGATTGTAATGCAGAGAAGAGAAAAAGTAGCAAGTCTTGAGACTTTGCCTTTGTAAGAAAGTGAGTCATAAGCAAACCATTTCATAATAAAACTTGGTATCAAAAGAGAAGAACACAAACATTCAAAAGGAGATAAAAAGAACAATACAACCCCTTAAACTGCAGAAAACTCCAGTCTTCCTCTTATGAAACACTTGCTAGATTCTTCACCTTCTCTGCTCAAACTTTTACTAAATAAAAATCTCTTAACTAAACTCATTTACAGATGCAGAAAGGAAAGAAGAAAAGAAGCAAAGAAGGGGTTTTGTTTTGTTACCAAACTTAAAAAAGGAGAAAGAAGAAAAGATACAACAACTTGTGAGAGATTTTCTTGCAGATTTGGGGAAGTCAGTTTTGCAGCAGATTGGCTTTTTGACCTGAACAGAACAGAATAGCTTCGAAGAAAGCAGAGGCATTGTGTCTTCCATCATCCACTTTGGTCTCTGGTTTCGTGTAATGGTACATTATATAAGAGAAAGGACTTCGTCTTTTTGGTTTCTTTCTTATGTTCCAGATTGATTCAAGAAACTTAGACCCAATTGTCTCTTGATATGGTCTGGTATCAACTTGTTCACCAGTTCTGGTGATGCTCCAGCTACTTCTTGTTTGAAGTTGAAGAGAGGTGGGAAAGGTCGGCCGTTTGGTAGACGGGCGTTTGGTTCTCTGAGTTCATCAAAGAACGGATGTGCACAAGCTTCGAGCTAAAATAGGCAGAGAACGAAAATAAATCAATACATTCCATTCCATACAGATTATTAACAGACAAGAAGAAACTTCGAGCAACACTTACCGCTGTGCATCTAAGACTTGGAGAGTATTGAAGAAGCCTTGATGCAAAATCAATCGCTTCCGGAGGCATCCTTTTGTGGAAAATCTAAACCAAAATGTAAATTTGATTATGTTGATGTGTGAAGTAGAAACTGTAACAAGAATGGATGTAAAAGAGGAAAAGCACAGCAAACCTTGTGCCAAGGATGTGCCTTAATCTGCGGAAACCTAAAGTCCGTGTAATGTGGATTCATACAACGGATTTCTTCTCGAGTTGGTGTACCAAGAACCTGTTTTCAACAACTTATACAATGAGGATTTGTTGTAGCCAATGAATGTAATTTGCAAAATATCAATACTAAAAGATTCTTACTTTGATGATTTCAACGAGCTGATCCACCGCATTTTCTCCAGGAAATAGGGGCTGAGATAAGAGCATGATAATATCACGATGAGTTCTAACGTGAATACAAGGGAGATTAAACAAGGTGGTAAGCGAAAATTCGGTTTACCTGGCCAAGAAGAAGCTCAGCAAGGACACAACCAGCAGACCAGATATCAATTGAAGTTGTGTACTCTGTGGCACCAAATATGAGTTCGGGTGCACGGTAGAATCGTGAACATATGTAAGAAATGTTGGCTTCGCCTCTTACCTGAAGGAAAAAAGCAGATTACAACAGTTAATGACAAGATCACACATACCAAAAAGTACAATAACTGGAAATAGATTATATGTCCAAAGTCTTACGAGCTGTTTCGCACTGCCAAAGTCGCAGATCTTGACTTGATGAGTAAGAGGATCAACCTGTAGAAATAGACCAGAAGAGATATATTAACAAGGAAAGAAACAAGAGAAGAAAAAACACAGTTTTGAGTATTGAATATAATGCATACCAGAAGATTTTGGGGCTTTAGATCTCTGTGACACACACCAGCAACATTGTGAATGTAAGCAAGTCCTCGAAAGATCTGACATACCAAAAGGAAAATTAATATCAGCATAGAATCATTTCTATTTACGTCGATTTTCTAAACAGAAGATGTGAAACTGTATTGTTACCTGATACATATAGAGTTTAACGTAGACAAGCGGCATTCTTTGGTTTGCAGTGCTATAATGTTTCAGAACTCGATACAAGCTCTCAGGGACATACTCCATAACCAAATTAAGGAAAAGCTCGTCTTTACTTGTAGTTGAAAAGAAGCAATGCTTCAAACAAACCACATTCGGATGATCCATCACACGCATCAACTGAAGTTCACGGTTCTTGTATCTCCTATCTTGCAAAACCTTCTTAATCGCCACGGTTTCACCGGTCTCCAAACATTTCGCCTGGAAAACTATACCGAACGAGCCCGTACCAACAACTCGCTCCGCCATATAACTAATTGTCTAACAAAACACAGAAAAACATCTTGTTCAGGATCAAAAATCTTGCATATACAGAGTCACTATCTTATTCGATTTAACCGTAAAATTACCTGTTTTGGTTCTCCGTTTTTTCCACCGATTGTGGTGGAGATTATGTGACCAGTGACTTGATCATGACCATCAACTACAGCAGCAGGCATCTCCTGTATAAGAAACAATCTCTTAAGAATCAACTCTCATACACAAATGCCAAAAGTATTTTTGTTGTAAGATTCAAAAAGGCTAAAGAAGGAAACTTTTATTACAAAATAGCCGTTACAAAGAGTGAATCTGATTTTGTTAGTAGAAGAAATATATATATACTTTTGTCACG